AAAACAAACAAACAAACTATTTTAAGCTGTTTTTCCGATATGATTGTTCAAAAGTATTTCCAAAATTCTTGGACATTCTGTACAATCAGTTTAATGTGACGAGAACCAATCAGAGGCTGATTCTCGAGTAGCAAGTAGGGATAGACAAAAGTAGGTTTTCTATCAACCAAGGTCTCTAAATGTAGAAATTTAGATACACCTGAGATAAAAATTATAAATATGTAGGTCTTCATTTACGAACATCACAGCTGTGTTATGTGATTCGTAAAATAAAGACCTACGTACAGCTCGGCTGTGGTGTTCGTAAAATAAAGACCTACGTACAGCACAGGTGTGATGTTCATAAAATGAAGGCCTACGCACAGCACAGGTGTGATGTTCATAAAATGAAGACCTTATCATAGCTGTGCTGTGCGTAGGTCTTCATTTTACGAACATAACAGCTGTGCTGTACGTAGGTCTTTATTTTACGAATATCACAGCTGTGCTGTATGCAGGTCTTCATTTTACGAACATAACAGCTGTGCTGTACGTAGGTCTTTATTTTACGAACATCACAGATGTGCTGTACGTAGGTCTTCATTTTACGAATATCACAGCTGTGCTGTATGCAGGTCTTCATTTTAAGAACATCGCAGCGGTGCCGCTGTAACACGACAGATTGGCTCTACAACAAAATGGTTATGAGAGATTCAAGTCATCGTTTGACTATCACCACCATATTGAAAATACCCTTCCAAGAGCAAAAATATAAAATATTACGTAAAGTAGAAATAAAAGTGCTATGTTGGACGTAATAGCATTCATAAATAAATGCGTAATTAAATGCATAACAAATGATAAGCAACCGGTTTCTTTGTTTAACTTTATGCCCCTATATTAATATAGAATGCAAAATCTCTGGTCATCCTGTCATAACTCTATCGTATTTAATCAAATTAAACGTTTTAGAGATTGACAAAACTAAAGAACAATTCATAGTTCTCAATAACAAGTAGCAAATGCTGTGAAATAGATTTCAATTTCTCCAGTAATCTTTCACGTGTAAAACTATCATTCTTATTTACTTCAGCAGGACTTTGATTTATGAAACTTTGTTTGTTTATTTAGTCTTAGTAATGTGTCGTGTTGGTATTTTTCTATCATATTTTTGTAGTTTACTTACGAAGAAAAGAAACCCACGTATAAAGTTACTACTCCAGAAATTCTAGGTGTTCCTTAAGAATACAAATGAGATTTATCCCTAAGATCCGTCCCCCCCAGTGGGACAGCGGGGAGTTTTCGGACTTACAGCGCTAAAATCAGGGGTTTGATTCCCCTCGTGGGCACAGCAGATAGCCCGATATGGCTTTGTTATAAGAGACCCCCCCTCCATATCTATATTGCCTGTTTCCGAATCGGCAACAGGCAGAGTATCTTTGTTAAGTAATATTGCTAAAACCTTTTTTAAACTATTCAAGTATTCAGGACGTATAATCATGGCTCACCCCTCATTGACCATGGAAACTAATGTACATGTGTATGAACTTAAACAGAGCAAATCGTTTACAAGGATAAAAAAACACTCTTATGTTCTGATTGAGTCTTGTAAAACCATACTCATGTCTTGATTGAGTCTTGTAAAACCATACTTATGTCTTGATTGAGTCTTGTAAAACCATACTTATGTGTTGATTGATTTTTTTACAAGACTGATCCTGTAGTTATATAACATCTCTGTAGTATCGTTTGACATTCATTACAACTTACCTGGGAAAATTCTAAGCTTTTAAACCAGCTTTTTCTTTTGTTCTTCCAGACAAGTGACCTTTATGACGTTTAGAACATTATAGGCGAAGTCGAATAATTAGCGGTTCTTCAACAATATAATTACAATGTTATTTTGCCACATCAGCAGATTAAATAAGTTTTCAGCGTCTTATGATACTGCTCCTGAAGCCAAGTGCGTTTTCTAAATTTTAGGAAAGCTTTACACTTCATCGTTGGAAATCATCCGAGTGTTCTTTTTTTTTTTTTGGAAACTTTGAACAACTGTTTACATTATCAAAAAATTGAAGATATATCTGAACGTCTACACTGGTTAATGCTAGAGAATAGAGTAAAAATAAAGAAACAGTACTTGTTGCTGACTGAAGTTTGTGACAGAAGTAGAGGCAACCATAAAAAACTAGTTTCGCTTTTGCAACTCACATCGCTCAACTGTAAAGTAGGACCAGCACACGCGACGATTAAAGGAACAGCACCTAGTTGTTCGTCGCCGGCGCACAACGTGCTAGTGATTGTACTGTGCACCAATCAATGACATATATATATATGACGTTTTCCTTGCCCTACAGGCACCAAATGCAGTGGGTTAGTACGTTAGATAGATGTTCGCTTAAAATGATGATAAGTCATTGTATTGCGTACTGACTTCATTATATATACTTTATAAGCCAAACAACACACTTGAGTATCTATTAGCTTAGTAGTGACGTCAATTTCAAGAGAAAAGTACTCTCAAACGAATCACTAAACTCCCGCCTCATTATTATACAATTCGACTTTTTTTCGATACAATGTCGTCCCCCAGCTAGATCTCTAACCCGAGCATTAGCAACTTGCGGGATTGAGTAGTTTATGAATATACAGAACTAACTGTACCAGCTTTATGATTTGCCAATTTTTCTGCTGAAGTTTTATCAGCTTTTCTTTTTTTTTGTCTTTTCTATTTGAATTTGCTCATGCGATTGTGTCTTTAACTGATTCTAAGCTAAATCTTTATAGATCGTTTATTAGAACCGGCATGGCCAGGTGGTTAGGGCGCTCGACTCGCAATCTGACGTTCGCGGGTTCGAATCCCAGTCACATTAAACATGCTCGCTGTTTTAGCTGTGGGGGCGTTAATATGTGACATTCAATCCCACTATTCGTTGGTAAAAGAGTAGCCTAAAAGTTAGCGGTGGGTGGTGATGACTAGCTGCCTTCCCTCTAGTCTTACAATGCTGATTAGGGACGGCTAGCGCAGATAGCCCTCGTGTAATTCAAAACAAACAGATCGTTATTACAACATTATGCCTATAATTTTTCTTAATATTCTTCAGTGGAAACAAGTTGGTAAATATTGTAGTTGCTCAGATCTTAAATACACAATACGGAAATAAGCAAAAACGGAAACACAACAATGCACAATTCTTAAACAAGTAAAGAAAATGAGAGAGAGAAGGAATGTTTGTTTGTTTGTTTTGAATTTCGCGCAAAGCTACACGAGGGCTATCTGCGTTAGCCGTCTGTAATTTAGCAGTGTAAGACTAGCTGGAAGGCAGCTAGTCATCACCACCCACCGCTACTCTTTTACCAACGAATAGTGGGATTGATCGTCACATTATAACGCCCTCATGGCTGAAAGAGTGAGCATGTTTGGTAAAATGGTAGATTGCGAGTCGAGCGCCCTAACCACCTGGCCATGCCGGGCCGAAATGTACGGATATGCTAAGTGAAACTATCACATTATCTATACCTTTGTTCGTTCAACTCGTTTCAAACGACTTTAAAATTAAAATCAATGACTTAACTAAATTATTTTACGCGAACCGACCTAACATACAGAACTAGAACCCAAAGATAGGTAATACGTAAAAAACAGGGAGATAATAATATCAGAGCGTTTTAATTGCACACATAAATTACAGTTATGTATATAGCAAACTTCTTCACGTGTAGAAGAATAGTTCATCATAGTAAATCAAATAATAAACACGTATCGTTTAACTTTAGTCATATTACATTACGTCAGAATTAGCTCTTTAATACATGCAACATAATAACAAATCATAATAAATTAAACCTACAGCGAATATTATAATACATAATATATTCTAAAATAAAGCATATAAAGGATAATACTTTACACAGGGCAAATATGAAAGGTAATAACGAAAATACAGAACATGCTTGATTTAAATATAGCTTAAAACAAGTCAAGTCATATATCGAGTGATATCCAAACACACTTAACACATCATAACCATAAAAGCCAAGTGTCGGTCGGTCAGTCGGTCACGCTCGATTTCTCCGAATTTCGTGAGTTACACGAGTCCAATTCCACTTTTTCTCCTATAATACATTCTATTTTAATTGTCCATTCCAATTTTTGTTGAATTTAATCACTAACATAGGCGTAAATAGCTCCAAAATTTCGGTAGTTTTCTGATATATAAAAGCCGGTCGAGGAGGAAGTTCCAAGGATCAGATCAGATATGGGATTATGTGTGTGTATGACACCACATCATCTACATCATTATGACGTCAAGCTAGGTAGGATCCGAATGGGAAAGCCGGGAAGACTTCCGTGATCGAAGACACGGAAGTACATTCGCACCCTATCAACGCCTGTTAAAAATAAGTCAAAAATTAGCGCAGATTGTGCTTGGGAATTATTAAGACATCAATATGTAGCATGTTTGCTCAGTAATATGCAGTAAATTCAGAGTCGATATGTAGTATGTTAATGGAAATGGAAATTTTATATTTTTGTTTATTTCCTTTGTGTATTGCCAGTTTTATACGGAATAGTTTGGGTTTTTAGTGGTTTCCCGTCATTCTTGACGGGCTTTTAAGCTAGTTGTAATATAAATATAACATTCACGTTAAATCGAAAGCAGTTGTTAATTATAACGTCAATTCCAAGCCCAAAACATATTAATATAATGCATAATAAGTAGACACCCACCACATGGGCAAGGTAGAAATAAGAATAAATAAATAAAATATATATCAAAATAGTTACACACTGCAGTACTAAATCCAAGAGTTAATAAAATAAATTAAATTTGCACTTTTGTACAGCTTAACTTAAAGCTGAATGAATTAAATAAGAGTGAAGGGATTAACTCACTCAGATAGACAAAAAGAAAAAACACCAACACATGGTTTCACAATAAAACCTTCGGAGAAAGCCCTCCCTCCCCCAGTGGCACAGCGGTATGTCTGCGGACTTACATCGCTAGAATCCGGGTTTCGATACCCGTGGTGGGCAGAGCACAGATAACCCATTGTGTAGCTTTGTGGATAGGTAAAAATGTCATTGAAGGTTAAATTCATATTAGCATTTCAATTATGGCACACTTTAGTGAATGAAATGTTTGTTCACGTTCAGCAGGAAACCTAAAGTATTTGTTCTAATCAATGCCAATATCTCCAAAAAGTTGGTCATAAAGTGTCGATAGTTGACAGAAAAGCAGGAAAAAAGCTGCTGGCATAAGGTTAAGTCCATATTAGCATTTCAGTTATGGTACACTTTAGTGAATGAAATGTTTGTTCACGTTCAGCAGGAAACCTAAAGTATTTGTTCTAATCAATGCCAATATCTCCAAAAAGTTGGTCATAAAGTGTCGATAGTTGACAGAAAAGCAGAAAAAAAGCTGCGGGCATAAGGTCCATATTAGCATTTCAATTATAGCACACTTTAGTGAATGAAATGTGGAATCTGTTCAATGCATTTAGACCTGTCTATAGGAGTAGAAAAAACATCAACACGTTCATTTACCAAACTCAACGCAAAAACCTTCCAAATCCTTTAATCCTTCCAAAACTGTATTGCTTTTTTTCATATGAAGTTATTAACTTGGCTTTGAAAACCGTCACAAGTAATAATTTATTCAAACGTATAACATTTGTAATTTAAAATTTAGCTGAGCGTAAAATAGTTAGGTAGAGTAAAATAAAGAGCTGAAAAAGCCAATAATGCATCTCAGAGTGAGATTATATAATGCCGATTTCCTCTAACTATGTGAATATTTATAAAATCAATTGCTTAAATCTAGCTTGAGCTTAACTGGATTTACATTCATAAATCCTAGCATACAAGTAAAGGACATTCTAGATAATTCGCGCCACCCAGTGGCACAGTGGTATGTCTGCGGACTTACAACGCTAGAATCCGAGTTTCGATACCTGTGGTGGGCAGAGCACACATAGCCCATTGTGTAGCTTTGTGCTTAATTACAAGCAATGCAAAGATATTTCGTATCATTTATTAAACATTTTTAAGCCTTTTAAAGGAACACCAAATTTCTGTAAGAAAGCTAACTTCAAAGGTTAATGATAACCACGTTTACACTAGAATTATATATATTTTTTTAATTACTACTAGTTAATAATACTTATAAAAGCGGATACTCTGTTTGAAACTATGTCACCTCAGTGAAATTGGTTGACACCATTGTTTTGATTTTAGAGTTATTATGTAATAAAAAAGGAAAAGAAAAAAAAATTCAAATTGTTTGCTATGATATTTACAGACATTCCCAGAACTTGTGACTCAGTCATTACATAGCTATTGTTATAAAAGGAAACACTGTATAATATTGTAAAGTTCTGATGACCTGTTGAGGAGATATTAAAATACCATTTCGATGAACAATCCAAGCCATCCGTACATAGGTAGTGCTACCGCCTGTCTGATAAACAATATATGTTACAGTTGGAACCTCATTGTATTTAGAACTTGTTATCAGGCAGGCGGTAACCCTGTCTGTGTAGGGATGGCTCGGATTGTAAATATAACCTACCTATGTCTATTGAAGCGCTGCATTAAAAAACAAAACAAGTAGTCGAGTAAAGAAAAAAAAAACTTTTCAAAAAAGGAGGTAAATGTAAGGATGGCTAATATCAGTCCTTCAAAACCAATGGAAACCAGATAGTAGAGATGACATTTGCATCATCCCTACATAATAACGCAGGCAATAATTAACATATAGCAATATATATATAATTAATTAATCACAATTGAGTTTAATTTATCCTATTATTTTTTACTGTTAAAATTCTACTACACTATATGTCTGTGCTATTATGTAGGGATGATGCAAATTCCATCTCTACTATCTTGTTTGCATTATTTTTGAAGGATTGATATTAACCATCCCTATATTTACTTCCTTTTTTGAAGTTTTTTTCTTTACTTGTATAAAATCGCAGCGGTCGCGCCATCACAGTCATTTATAAACACAGACAATTAGTCACGATATTGTTGACAATAATACTCTGAGTGATACAGTGACGAAAATGATACTGTTTGATATATTGTTATTTCACTTCCACACATACGTAAATGTTGAAAAAAAGTTTCGTGAACAATTACAGAAATGCAGATACCTGTAAATTTAAACTTTATATTTCTAATCTCGTACATTTATTGTTTTTTTTTTTGTATTTCTTCTATTCATCGCATTTCTGTAGTTCTGAAATTCCCATTTCAGTAAAAACTCTGAGAGCA